ATGGACCAGAATGGCAACAGGAGCTAGGGCGGGACGGTGATGGAGGCCTAGTTTGCAGATGCGGTTTTTTCTTCCCTAGCACCCTCCCTCTTTAGGCTGGGTATCTTGAGACCGTATGATACCAGCACTGGTGTTCCAGAGCTACGGCTTTATTCACCGGTGCCCCCAAGGGGTAGGAGGGGACTTCAAAGAGTTGGAGTTTCAAGTATGCGTTTTTCGGTGTAAAAATGTTCGAAGTCTGTAATAAAGACTTTTTGAAGACCTCGTCACTTATCATTTCTCTATTTTTTTTTTTCTTTTGAGAGGTTTTTGCTATATGGCACGTGTGCTCGCCAGAAAGACGGAAAGCACGAAATCACACGCCGCAATCCCTTTTCCTCCATTCTCTCGGGATCTTGAGCACCTGTGCACACGCGCCTGGCTAGAGTTGAAGTCACCGGATCCGGGACTCGGAACTGCGGTCAACTACATGGGAATCCAGCGCCATAGCAATTATGGTGACTACTGTCCCTGAACTTGAGTTTCTAAGAATTCAGATTCTAGGGACCTGCTCAAGGTTTACTGAACTAGAATTGTCAGGGAGGTCTAGGAATCCACGTTTTTTAAAGCTTGGATGTTCAATCACGGAAATAACGTTTTTCTGACCTCTGATATCTCAACCTGCATAGGGCAATTAATCAGGGCTTCACCCTTCCTGTCATCTTCAGCCATTCTAAACTATCAGGATTAAAACTTCATATTGCCACTTGGCAGCAGATGATACCTTATTGATCGTAGGTCCCAGTGGAAAGGGTCTGTGACAGTGTGATTTAAAGACGCTGCCTCAGTACGTGCAGGAAGCCTTTCAATTCTAAAGTGTTCAGGGATGCTTATGTTGTCAACTTTAATTAGAAATAGGAATTTATTGTATAATATCATAAAGAGCTCTGTCAGTTCTTGTCTAAAATTTTGGGGCCAGCGAAGTGTGGTGGTTAAGGCGCTGGACTTCCACGTGGCTGACCACAGTTTGAATCCCTGACCTGGTCGCTTGCTTTCTCACTTAACTTTCTTTCTCTGTGTCTCTCTCTGGTCAAATTGAGAGAAAAATAATATCCAAGTTAAATAATTTTTTTTTTTTTTTTGCCAGAGGGCCAATGTGTTAGCTGGAGAGACAGAGAGAGAGAGAGAACGAGAGCACCCATGGGATGTGGTCACCCTCCAGTCTCTTTTTCATTTCTCCTTCATTTTTGAGATTTTGGGCATTGTGTCCAGCATGTTTTTCAAGCTACCTGGTCTGGAACTTGAACCTTGAGCCAACTGATTAAGGCATCCAGCTGCCTTAACCACCGGGCCACAATCTAGCCCATTATAATGGACATAGCATGTTTCTGTGAGTGATTTATAATTTTAGAAGCCACACTGCATCTGTATTTTTGTTTTTTAAAGAAAAAATACCTTAATTTTTTTTTTTTGGAGAGGTTTTGTGGCTATAGGGTGCATGCGCTCACCAGACAGAGAGAGAGAGACATAGAGAAAAAGCGAGAAATCACCCCCCAGGAGGGATGGCCACACCACAATCCCTTCTCCTCCATTCTCCTCTCGGGATCTTGGGCACGCACGCATACAAACCCGGCGTGAGTTTTAAGCCACGGGGTCCAGGACGCGAGCCGCAGGGTGGGTGTTATACGCAGGGGGCTCAGGGACGCGAGCCGCAGTCGACTACGTGGGAATCCAGCGACATAGCCATTACGCTAACTGCTGGTTCCTCCTTAATTTTTTTTGTCAGAGGGTGTATGCAGAGACCAAGAGAGGGAGAAAGCACCTGGTGGTGGGGTGTGGTGATGCCACAATCCCCTCTCCATTTTTCCATTCTGTCAGATTTTGGAGCATGCAAGTACACACACTTAGTCTGTTTTTCAAGCCATGGAGTTCAGGACTCAAACTGCAGTCAGCTATATGTGATCCAGCTCCCTTAACTACTAGGCTACAGAGCTGGCCCTAAACTTTTTAAAAAATATTTATTCCATGAGTGAGAGCAAGGAGATACAGCACCCCTGACAGGGTCTTGACACCCCAGCCTCAGCCATCCCCAGTCATGGGCACATTCACACCCTGCATACTCTCAGGTCTCTGGTTGGCAACCTGCCCAGAGGGTCTGCCTCACGGGGTGTCCTGTTTTACCACTGCACCCCTCTCCAGCCTTGTGTAATGTAAGAGCTAGTGTGATGCTTCTGCCTTAGATTCCCCAAATTGTTGAAATTACAGGTGTGCACCTGGCCTTAATGTTTTACTGGGAATCAATCTAGACTTCCTGTCTGGTCCCAATCTGTGGGGTCCCAGCACCGTGGCTTAGTGCATGCCACAGGGTCTGGGCAATGGCTCAAGGTTTGGTTTTGTTTTTTGAGAAGTTTTTGTTATAGGGCTCCTGAGCTCACCAGAAAGACGGAGAAAGCGAGAAATCACCTCCTGGGGGATGGCCACAGTGCAATCCCTTCTCCAGTCTCTCAGGATCTTGGGCACACATGCACATGTGCCTGGTGTGAGTTTAAGCCACCGGGTCCAGGACTCAAACCATGGTCGACTATGTGGAAGTCCAGCGAGATAGCCATTATGCCAACTGCTGGTCCGGCAATGCCTCAGTTTTTAGGTACCTTTACACCCAAGCAACATATTTTTGAGCCATCTCTATAAGAATTGGAGCTATATGTAAACACAAGTTGATAGGGAGTTGACTCCCAGGCACAAGGAGGCAGCAGAGTTGAGACAGAATCATGGTAAGGAACCAGGACCAAGGAGATGAACCTGAAGAAAAGTAAGAATCCAGCAGATGACTACACACGAGGTGGTCTTAAGTGTGATCTGAGCATAAATAATGCTACTCAGAGCTACTAAAATTAGTGTTGGTAAAATCATTATGAGAATGGGCTGGGGCCAGCAAGTGGTGTGGTGGTTAAGGTGGCTGGATCCCACCCACATGGCCCACTGTGCTGTTCAAATCTTGAACCTTGCAGCTTTTAAAAATACACCACGCATGCATGTGTATGTCTCCCAAATCCCAAGAGAATGAAGGAGAAGGGATTGCGGGTGACTATTCTCCCTTGGGGGAGGGGAGATTTCTCACTTTCCCTCTGTCTCCTGTAATTACTTGTGCCCTATAGCAAAAAAGCAAGAACAAACAAAAAAGCTATGTCTTGTCTTTTTTTAAATTCTAAAGGGCATGTGCGCAGACAGAAAGCACTCCCTACAATGGGCCTGGTCTTGCTGCAATCATTTTCCCTCCAATCCTTTATCCCATTGGGATCGTAGGCATGCATGTGCATGCCATATTTTTCAAGCCTCCGGGGCTGGGACATGAACCCTTGTCAGCCATGTGGGCGTTGACTGCTGCTTCAAAGCTATGGGGCCAGTCCTAGGTCCATTATTGTTTCCTCAGCACATACTTCACTCTGCCGGGTTGGGTGACCTCGGTTTACAAAATGTGAATACTGTGTCCTGCCAGAAAACAATGCTGTTCTGTCTGAAATCGTAACCTCTTTATCTCCTTTTATTTTCCCAGAGGGCATGTGTATACGCACATGAAAGAGAGAAAGCACCCCCAGCAGGTCCTGGTCACACTGCAGTCCCTTTTCCTCCAACTCTGAACTCCATCAACCCTGCGCATGTGTGTATGTGCCCAGCATGAAAGCCGCAGGGGCCAGGACTCAAACCCTGGTTGGGCATGTGTCATCCCACTGTGCTTAACTGCTGTGCTACAGGGCCAGCCCCTAAATCTTTAGTTTTTTGCCAAGATGATTTTTCCAAGTTGCACCTATGTCAACAGAACTAGTTTCTGAAAGTTGGGAAATTTCTCTCCTTGTAGTAGTCAATAGGTAATTCATAGTCATGGGTAACAGACACTTTAGGCTTCATCTTGCACAAATCTATTTATTAGAGGTGAGCGGCAGGATGTTCTACTAAGATTAATTAGCCAAGGTCCAGTTTACACTAGGTGGAAAAGAAGCCGCCATCGTTCTTTCGGGAGTAACCTCCATTGGTGGCTGCAGTGTGGGGGGACACTGGAGAAAAGAGAAGTAGGCTGTTAATTTCAGATCTGCCTTTTTGGGGAATCTAATCACGCACATATTTTGGGTACTGTGGAGAAGCTTTTGTTTTTTTTTTCCTTTTTGTTTGGGAGGGTTTTTTTTTTTTTCTTTTCCTTTTTTTTTGTTGCTATAGGGTGCGTGCACTTGCCAGAAAGAGACAGAAAGTGAGAAATCACCCCCCCATGGGGGATGGCCACACCACAATCCCTTCTCCTCCATTCTCCTCTTGGGATCTTGGGCACGCACGCACACGCGCCCGTTGTGAGTTTAAGCCACCAGGTCTGGGACTTGAACCACGGTTGACTACATGGGAGTCCAGCGACATAGCCATTACGCCAACTGCTAGTCCCAGAGAAGGTGGGGAAATGCATGAAGAAGCCTTATGGGAGATAGTTACAGGTCTTCCACTCCCAGGTTCCTGTCCTTGCTGGAAATGTTTGTCTCGCAGACCAAAGGTTGAGCTAAAAGGCTCAGGAAATTTGAGTTCGTTTTCTGCTTCTGTAGTGAACATGCCCCTGGGACTAGTTTGATGTGTGCCGGCTTAATGACTGTTTTCCAAGACCGCAGTTGTCCATGACCTCCCCCACCAGTCAGTCATCTCAATCCCTGACTCCTGGGCCCATGAAAGACTGCAGCACCCCCTGCTACCGCCACCTTCTCGCCCTTACCTATGGATCCCTGGATGCTGTGGGTGGACTCCTTCTTAGGGTTGATCCAGTGTCTGATGTTAGCCCGGGAAATGATAGAGAGTGGAGGAGGAGTGGGTAAAAATGCCCCAGGCCCTTGGGTCTTGATTCTGGACAGTGGTTTGAGGAAGAACAGGGGACAGGGAAATCAGTGAGAGGTGAGAAGGGAAAGGAAGTTGCATTACACCTTAAAAAGTAGCCAAAGGCCCTTTTTATCCTCTGTGGAATTACCCAAATAAATGATTCGTTGATCTAAGTGAGGGTTTCTACTCATTTTAGACCATAAAGATACAGAAGTTACATCACAGATATGGATGTAAAAATACAGATGTTTGTGTACCAACGAATACCTACAGCTTCTTTCCCAGGAGACGTTTTACTCTATAGGGTTGAAGGCGGTGTCCTTAGGGCGGAGAGGCTCTGCCTGTCACTTACCCACTGGTATCCTGGATGGTCTCCTGGTGCAATAGTACCTCACTTTTGTTCTTGAACGCCCCGGTGTGGTGGTCGTACAGGGCTGCTAAGCGAAAGTCCAGGTCATCCTTCGGTATCTACAGGGAAAGTCATTCCCCCCCAGGGTTAACCTGGCCACCTCTACCCACCACTGGTCAGATTCTGTTGGGCTCTACTGTTCCCCAAAAGTGTAGTGAAGCCCCTATCGGTCCTGTAATCTCCCAGCTCCTTACACACTGAACTATTGTTCTTAACGCACCAATATGGACTTGTCTCCTTTACAGTTAGTTCCAAGGAGTTGTAATAGACTCTCTGGAGACATGGAATGCTGTCCCTGACTTGGGCTCAATGAACTTTGCCTTATTCATGGATATATTCAGCCCTTGTTTCAACCAAAGAGTGAGGCATCTAGAATGATTTGCAAGTCTTCTCACTTCCCAGAGGCCAGCTACATTGATTTTGAATCTGGTAGGATCTTGGATTGGGGACAAAAGGAAGGACAAATTACCTTTCAAAAAGGACATTAGTGAGTCCTAAGTAGATGAAAAGAGGAATAATACTTCAATGCTAGGTACCTCAGAATCAAAAAAATAGGCATCTCGCCTCATGGAGGTAATTGTGGGAGTTGAGTTGAGCCGATTCCAGGGGTCCTGTTGCTGGGCAAGGTGAGTTGGGTTCTTGTACGGTGATTTCTGCAAAAGAGAAACCACACCCAGGACCTCAAGACAGGACGTCTTGCTGTTGTGGCTTCAGTGACATCCATCCGCCTATTCCATCCTACTTTATTTGAATCTCAGAAGATGACATGAGGCAAAACCCCCAAGCTTTTGAGCCCCCCACCCCAAGCTCTAGAACTGACAGAAATGGGCTGGGAATTCAAGGGAAAGGGTGGAATTGGACGAGGGATGAAGGCCGGGGAGCAGATAGGGGAGATGATGGGTTCAGGTTTAGATGTCCTGAGTTCAAAGGAATGGTGAAACTTCTTTTTTCTTTTAAGATTTAATTGCATTTATTTATTCATTCATTTTTAATTTAACTAGAGAGACAGAGAGAGAGAGAGAGAGGAAGTGAGCAAGCAAGCCCCCAGGTCCAGGACTCGAACTGTAATCAGTCATGTGGGAATCCAGTGCCTTAACCACCATGCCACCTGCTGGCCCCAGAAAAGGTGAGACTTCTAATGCAATTTACAAGCAGAACATTATATATGTGCAGCTTGTTGTAGGAGAGGACAGGACAAGTTATATATTCATAGATCTGAAGATTGTCACATGGAGTAATCGCTGAAGCCTGGAAAAAGGAGTCTGGTCAAAAGGGAAGGGCAACTTCATAAGGACTGCAACTATTATAACTGGGAGCACGGCAGGACCCCAAGAGAGGCAATCGGAGACAAAGTAGGAGAGTCCAGTGTCTAAGCAAGTGAGAACAAGGTGGTAGTAGGCAGGGCAAGGGTTCATGAATGACCTCAGGAACAACAGAAAAAGACATTCACTTCTCTAAATGAAAACCCCCAAGTGTGAATGTGAGAAGCACATACAAGGACGCTTGAAAAAGTTTATGGGAAATAGAACTAAAGGACGAGTTTATTTTGATGCAAAAAAGTTTTGAAATCTAGAGCCAGCCAGTGGTGTGGTGGTTAAGCTGGCTGGATCCCACATGACTGACCATGCAGTTCAAGTCCCAGATCTGGCAACTTGAAAAGCACACTGGATGCATGTGCATATATGCCCAAAATCCTGAGAGGAGAATGGGAGAGAGGGAACTGTAGCATGGTCACCCCCTCTGGAGTATGCTTTCTCAATTTCTCTTCTTTCACCCCCCGTGAGTACACGCACCCTATAGCAAATTTCAAAAAAAGTTTTGAAATCTATGCAGTTTTTTCATAATACACATCTTCCATGAACTTTTTCAAGACCCTCCATAACTGATATCTTTATTACATCAGTTAGAAGGCCATATTGTTCACCACTGTATTCCCAGTACCTAAGCACAGTGACCTAACACATGGTATTCGCAAATGATACAGTGATTGAACCAGTGATTGAATTCCAGTGAGTACAACTATAGCCTATTAGAAATCCCAGTCTAGCCAATGTAGTAAACGTCCTCCCCAGACGACAAAGTGCTGTGTGACCCAGCTCAATTAAACCTTAATTGGGGCTGGCCGTATAGCCTAATGGTAGGGGAGCCAGATCCTACATAGATGACCGTAGTTCAAATCCCAGCCCCGGTGGCTTGAAAAACATGCCAGGGGCAGATGTGCATATGTGTGCTTGCCCCAAATCCCGACAGGATGGAGAAATGGAAGAGAAAGGACGGCAGCATGACCACACCCTATTGGTCTTTCTCCTTTTCCATCTTTCTCTGTCTCTCTCTCTCTCTGGCCAGCGCACACACCTTCTGGCAATTAAAAAAAAAACAAGTATTTCTTCATAGGTTTGGCTATTCTTCGCTGTTGGCCTGGAAAGCTCTCTTTACATTCTCCTCAAAGGCTACATAAGACTCATCTCTTCCATCGGCAGAAGGATTGTCTTTCACTGAGAAAGTCATGACTGTCAAGCACAAATTCCGTTTTCACATGGACTTTCCTTTCATCTCAGAGAAGTCGCTTTTCTGCAAGAGTAACCCTTCCACCCTGGTCCCAGCCATTCCCTATGCTTCAGAGACCTGTACTAACCCACCTCTCCTCTTTTCTGACCCCAGTTCTCTCCCCTTCTTTTTTTTTTAAGAGGTTTTGCTATAGGGCGCATGCACTTGCCAGATAGAGAGAGACAGAGAGACAGAAAACAAGAAACCATCCCCCAGGGGGCATGGCCACACCACAATCCCTTCTCCATTCTCCTCTCAGCATCTTGGGCATGCACACACCTGCTGTGAGTTTTTAGCCACTGGGTCCGGGATGCGAACCACGGTCGACTACATGGGAGTCCAGCGACATAGTCATTACGCTAACTGCTAGTCCCTCTCCCCTTCATCACGGCGTAGCTACCGCCCTATCACTCTTCCTCCAGAGCAGACTCTTTCAAGAGCATTTACTTTCCCCACTGCCTCCCATTCCAGTCCCCTCTTCAGCCCACTGCAGTCTGGCCCTTGCCTCCAGTACCCACTGAAATGGCTCTTGCTGGTGACCAATGATCTCCGAGACTAGAGCAGGTGGGTCTGTCCTCTCCAGAACTGACCTCATTTGATCTCTGGTTTCTAGCGCTCAATTCTGATTTCCTCAGATGCTCTCTCCGTCATTGTGAGTCTAACTCTCCTGGTCTGCCTCCTGCCTCTGACTCTTCTCAGCTGCCTTCTCAGCTCTGCCTCCTCTGTCTGCCCTTTAGCTCTCCAAGAATCTAGTTTCTGCTTGTCTTATTCTCCCACTCACTGGGTGAGCCGATTCCCTCCCATGGCTTCAACTACCGTGTGGCTACCATGGCTCCCAGATGCAAGGTCTTTCTAAAACTCCTGCCTGACTGTGTCACTCTAGTGCTTAAATTCCCACCACGGAGCCCCACGCCTCCAAGACGGAGCCCTAGCTTACTGGCATAGTGTACGCAGCGCACCCAGCCCACCAGGGTTGTTTCCGCAGCCCCGATCACGCCGCCTCTCCATGTCATACCAACAGGTCAGCTCTTCTGGATTCTGCAGTTCCCAGACCGTCCACACTCCTTTCCACGTTTGCGTACCTGCTTCTCCTTTGACCTTGAATGCCCAGTTCTATTTCCTTCTTCCTAACTCACATTCCACCCTTCTGTCACTGGCCCAGCAACTTATTTTTGGGTGTCAAAACTCATCCATTTTGGGAACTTTCCTTTAAGCTGCTGACTCCCATGGCACTCTACATAAACTGTCACAGCACATGCCATTGTGCGCGCATCTTTTACGGCTGCCGTCCAACTTTCCTTCTAGAATTCCTTGAGAGCAGGAGCTATGTCTAATTTGTCTACATCTTCTCAGTATTTAGCACAGTGCCTCACATAGAGTAGATAATAAATATAGAATAAATTAAGGGCAGTTCTTTGGTCCTGTTATTAAGCCACGACTACTATTTAATTCACTTTATCTTGCCCTTCAAAGAACGCTTCTCTCTCCTACTCTTGTGTGTGCACATGTGCTCTATCACGGGTAAAATAAACTCCCAAATCGCTGACCAGCCACAGTCATGCCAAACACACACACATGCACTGCAGCCTCAAACCAAAACGGAGACTCCATTTACAAAGCATGATCTGGGGGATTCTCTCCCCCTTCATGACATCTCTTTTCAGAGGAAGGTTTTGCAAACAGGGGAACGGGTGGCTGGATGGAACCTGGGTCCCTCATTACTATAATCACTGCTTTGGGTTTCAGAGCTCCCTGTTCCTCGAGATCAGATTTCTGCTCCCCTCTGCTCAAAAGCACCTCTAAGAACGTTAGCAGACACGGACATAGGGACAGGGAGGCAGGCAGACCACAGGCTTTTCTGGTACCCGGCTGTCCTCACCAGAGTTCTTACGTTACCATCTCTGCCTCCTCACACTGAAGGAGGCTGCCGGCTACCCTGCAGGGAATCTGCGCAAGAAACCACAGTACCTTGGAAGCCCGCAGTTTTCCCAAGTAGGAATCATCGTTATCTAGCGTGGGGTGCTGGAAAGGGTCCCGGGTGGGAGGCATGGTTAAGTGCAGAGCGAGAC